CTGGCAACAGGGCAGAGCACAGTTGGCCTCTGCCCTCCCCTTGCCCCCAACTGCAAACCAAAAAGCAACCGAGAGACCAGGAGTACCAGACGCCCCCTCTGCAGCATGGGACAGTCATGACAAAGCTGGACACCCAAGAGCTACAGGTCAAGTACTTGGTTGTGGGTGGGTTGATTGACTAACTCCAGTACCGACCGACAGGAGGTCAGGTACCTGGTTAGTCTTGGGAGGGAAGATATGTGACGAAAGTAACCTCATCACTGGCTTTTGGTGGGGCCTGTTTGCCAGCCTCCTACCCTGTGATTATGGCCCTGTGACAAAATGAACCTCGGCAAGGGTTCTTGGAGGGTTCTGCTGGCCAGCCTATTGCCTCAGGACTATGGGCCCTGCAATATACCTTGCCCAATGCACTCTAAAAGGCTCTGTTCATATGAAGTATGTTCTTTTGTACTCCAGACAGAGAGAACGACCATAAGCCCTTATTCTCTGGAACTGTTTTTGGCATGGGACCATGGGCATGGTGGGTCAAAAATAAGACTTCCAGGAATTTCCTGAACCCCTGCTCTGATCTGGGTGATTTTTTTATATTTTGTTCACCCAGATCAGGGCTATCAGGGGATGTAAGATGTGGGGATATGTTGTGTTTTGGGATACTTTTGGGGTTTTCTAACATATGTGTTTTTTATGCTTGGGGATAATTACGTTAATACATTACCTACCTTAATTGTATCACAGGCAAAGGGGAGCTGCTCCTGCTACGCTCTCAGGACTAGGAGAGGTCTACCTACTGGTAGCTGGATCCTTGTCTTGGGTCCAGGGTGGGTGGAGGACGGCTAGACCCCAACCAAGCTGCAGCAGTTTGTGGGGTTTACGGTGGTTATGGTGTGTCAGCCTATGGTACTCTCAAGTACTAGGACGCAGCGATTGAGGGAGGTAGCCGGTCGGGGTGCAGGCGGTCTGTCACAATATATATATGTACATACACACACATATATACACCTATCAGCTACAACATCAGTGTATATATGTGTGTAGGTCCACCTAATGCTGCTAAAACAGCTCTGATGTGTCAAGGCATGTACTCCACAAAACCTCTGAATGTGTCCTGTGGTTTCTGGCACATTAGCAGCTGATGCTTTAAAACCTGTAAGTTGTAAAAGGGCGGGTGGTCTCCATGTATCGGATTTGTTATTCCAGCAAATCCCACAGATGTCCAAAAGGATTGAGATGTGGGGATTTGGAGACCAAGGCAACACCTTGAACTCTTTGTCATGTTTATCAAACCATTCCTTAATAATGTTGTAGTGTGAATGGCAGGACCCAAGGTTTTCCAGCAGAACATTGCCAAGAGTATAACACTGCTCCTCTAGCCTGACTTCTTCCCATAGTCCATTCTGCTGCCATCTGTTCCCCAGGTAAACGGCACATACGCACCCGGCCATCCACCTGATTTAAAAGTAAACATTATTTATCAGACCAGGCTACCATTTCACACTGTTCTTGAGCAAAGGGATGAAGAAAGGGGAAAAAAAAAACATGCATGGGGTTAGGGGGAGAGACACAAAAAGGGACTGGAATCATAAAGAGACACAAAAAGGAGCTTGGAGGAGAAAGATACACACAAAGGAGGTGGGCAAGAAAGAGACCCACAAATGGGCTGGGGAAAGAAAGGGACACACAAAGTTGGCAATGCTACAGTGCGCGGCCATGCTACATGTAGATAAAAAGGTGGGGGTGGAGACCATAAATGGTTAGGGGGCAGGTGGACAAAGAGACATACAGAAGGGCTGCAGGGGACAAAGATCCAGGGGTTGGGAGGGCATAGAAACATACAGAGGTGCTAAGGGGGACAAAGAGACATAAAGAGGGACTGGGAAGGACAAATAGATACACAGAGGCCTTGGTGGACAAAAAGAACATAGAGGGGCTGGGGGAAAGACACACAAGGAGACACAAAGGGGAAGAAAGAGACACAAAGGAGCTGCGTGAGAGAAAGAAACACACAAAGAGGGACAAGGGGGAAGAAAGAGACACAAAGGAGCTGGGGGGGAGACCCAAAAAGGTGCTGAGAGGAAAAAGACCCACAAAGGTGCTGGGGGTGTGGGATGGAGGAGAGAGACCCACAGAGGGGCTGGCGGGGGGGGAGGCACACAAAAAGGGTCTGGTAAAATAAAGGGACCAACAAAGGTACCAGGTGGGAAGCGACACACAGAGGGGCTGGGGGAAAGAAGAGACACACAGGTGCTGGGGGAGAGGAGAAACACACAGAGGGACAGGGGGAGGAGAGCACACAGGGACTGGGGAAGAGGAATTTTAGACACAAATGGGTTGAGGAAGGCACACAAATTAACTGGGGAAGAGACACACAAAGGTGCTGAGGGACAAAGAATCACACAAAATTGGCAATATTTGTTTGAGGGGGGGTGCAAGTAGGTGATCTTACCAAGGACGCAAAATTGTCTAGCACCAGCCCTGCTGTCAGAGCAGGTAGATGAAATAGAAGATCCTCCACCGCGGTCTACACTACATGTAGGTAAACAGGTGGAGGCCGACGGACAAAAAGACACAAAGTGGGGCAGGGAGGACAAAGAGAACCACAGAGGGGGTGTGGAGGGCAAAGAGAACCACAGAAGGGCTGGGGGAACAAAGAGGCATAATAAGGGGTTGGGGCAAAAAGCACAGAGGGGCTGGAGGTCATAGAGAAACAGAAGAGCTGGGGGAACAAAGAGACACATGGAGGGGCAAATATACAAATAAACTATATGGTCACCAGAAGGGGGCTGTGACACACACAAAGGGGCTGGGGAAAAAGAGACATGCAAAGAGGCTGGGGAAAAGACACCAGAAGGGGCTGGGGAAGAGACACACAAAGGGGATGAGAAATAAGCTTAAAGAGGGGCATAGGTAGAGAAAGATACACACAAAAGGACTGGGGAGAAAGACACATAGAGTGGCCAGGAAGGAAGAGAGACACACAGATGGGTTGGGGAAGAGACCCACAAAGGTGCTGGGGAAAGACAAGGAGAAGCTGGGGAAGGGGAAAAAGAAGCACACAAGGGGGTTAGGGGAGAAAAAGTCACACAAATGGGCTGGGGGAGAAAGAGACACACAAAATTGTTTTTGGGAGGTGCAAGTAGCTGGTCTTATCTAGGACCAGCCCTGCATACAGAAAACACCCCACTAGACTTGCCATTTTGAGATGCTCCAACCCAGTCATCTAGCCATCATATGGCCCTTATCATGTCACTCAGATCTTTTTACTTGCCCATTTTTCCTGCTTCATGAAATTCAAGAACTGACTGTTCACATGCTGCTTAATATACTCCACCCCTTAATAGTTGCCATTATAACAATATAATCAATGTTATTTACTTCACCTATAATGATTTTTTTATTTTTAATATAGAAAAAAGACATACAAAAAAATACATAATTTTACAACTATCATACAAAACAATACTATACAAATATACATAGGGATTTGGTAAAGAGCGCAGGTAACATTTTTCTTTGGTTTTTACTGTATGTATTGAGGCTGATGTGTACTATGGTCGTTGCTGCCGCCCCAGAGTAGTGGGAGTTTGAGAGCAGGACTTTTTTTTTTGTATTTGTATTCACTTTTGTATAACACAGCTATGTTACAATGCTGCTGCCCACCCCATGTGTTCCCTATTGAGGGATAATAAGGGTGTATATAAAAAATACCCCTCTCTGTCTCATTAAAGATATCTTTGCCAGAAGCTCAAGGAAGCAAGGTGAATGGTTAGTGTAGGACCCACCTAAGAGGTTTGCCTTGACGTGGCAGGTGGGCATTTCCCTCTAATGGCCATTGGAGTAACTAAATAACCTCCAATTGTTTAAATATACATAGGGATTTGGGAAAGAGCGCAGGTAACTTTTTTCCTCAGCCAATGACTGTTTATCACTGTGGCTCTGTAGAAGCCAGAAGTGTGTCATTGGACACCAGGGAGCATTGGATCCCGGTGTGGACCCAGGTAGGCAGGCTGTAGTGGTTATGATGCTTCGAGTAACCCTTTAAAATATACAAAATCTTCCTTAAAATACAAAAATAAAATTAATTGTAACATAGCTGGTATTTCGTATACTCATTTGTTTGGGTCCCCCCGAGTCGTATGTTTTCCAAGAATCCAAGTGCAGCATACAAGTAAATCCCGCTGTTTGGCAGTCACATACCCAAACATCTGCCTAGACTAGATGAAGGGTACAACAAGAATGTTTTATTCAGGCCAGATGGCCGGCTTTAATGTGATTCCAGAGTACAGTAAACACACCCATAAAAACTCCCCCAACACACCCATAAAAATCTGAGTCACCATGACTGCATAAAACACAAAATATGGAAAATACATAATAATAGACATAAAACATATAGGAACCGCCATAAATGTCATATTCCCGGATAGCCTGGATCTGAGCGCCCAAGTTGTCCAAATAGCGCTCAGATCCCATGAACACAGCCGAATCACCACCGGGGTAAAGTTCTGACCGACTGCTCAGGTAGCGGTCGGTCCATTGTGGACCGAACCGAACAAAACCATGAACGGATCTCCTAGCTCATGGGCAGCGTTTGTTCACCTGGTTCGTGTGAACAAACCTGCCGAACAGCGATCTCCTGGCTTGTCTGGGAAAGGAAGCAGGCACTTGCGAAGTTAACCAGTGTTAGCGGGGTGGAGTGTCCGACTTGGAGTTCCAGACACTCGACAACCAAGTCCTGCTGCCTCCTTTTGTGCAACCAAATGGCCGCAGTTTTCTACAGCAAGTGTTGTTCGGTTATACGAACGGCGGCCACACAGGGAGAGCACTTAATCCTGCAGTTTCTTTATAGTTAATAAGCAAGGGGGTGGTCGGTGTTCGGTAGATTTATCTACCGAACAACGAAAAAAAAAGTTTGGGAAACAAAGTGTATAGTTTCGTCACAATATTCTTTTGGGAATACAGTTTTTTATTAATTTAAGTTAAATTTTTTTAAACTTACTGCTGTTTTAAGGGAAGTTTTTGTTGAATTTTCCTGTTTATGTGATTTTTAAATGAATCACATTTGTAACAATTTACTTTAGTGAACAACCCCACTTGTGATTTATCTAACATTTTCATACTCCGGCTTACCATGATAGTGAAAGGGACAGTATGTCACCTAAACAATTTAGCTTCATGGAGCAGTTTTGGTTTATAGATCATGCCTCTGAAGTTTCACTGCTTAATTTATAGCCATTTAGGGGTTAAATCACGTTTCTTTCTGTTTATGCAGCCCTTGCCACACCTCCCTGTGTGTGACTAACATAGCCTGCATGAAAAGAAAATGGTTTCAATTTCTGTTTTGGTGACTATAGTGTCTCTTTAGGCTTCATCAAGCGATACTTGTATTACTACGTTAAACAGGCACTCTATAACCAGCAGGTATCAAGTCTTAATAAAATAAGCCTGTTAACTACTCCAGCTTTCAATCTGTTAAGTAACTCACATTATTTTGGTTTTTAATAATTTATCCTCACAGTCACATTTGTTGTTAAAGTGGCTAAAATGTGTGTCCCCATTAGGTGTTTAATCAAAATATAACACTTTTGATAATTGCCTTTTAACTCTCCTCTCTATTGCCTGGCAAACAATATTCAAAGTACACATTGTGTCACATTGTTGAACAATGTTCAAAGTACACATTGCACCATCCCATGTAATTTTGTCTCTCTAGGCAAATTATAATCTTACACTTCTTGGCTACATAGGTAAGCAAAGAGCTCTTGGCTAATCCACCCCACCCCAATCCATTTGCTATCGTAAACCAGATGGGTTAACTTGTAGCCACTTACCTTGACCTCCACTCCCCTGCCTGCTCTCTGGTACGCCTCCGCTCCTCAGACTATCACTGATTTACCCTGCATGAGGACACTTCTCTTGGAGGTCTCTTCTGCTCTCGCTGTCTCTCAGTCCCCAAGCATTTAGTGTCTGCTGAAGAATTGAGAGACAAATGCAAGATAACACTATTTTTAAACAGGTTATTCTCCCAATCTATACATTTGCTAGCAAAACTGCTAGCACAATGTAAAGATGGAATAAAATGCTTTCTTTAAAGAGCTAAAGTTGTTTTTGGCTCTACATGTGCCCTTTTAACCACTTAAGGACCAAACTTCAGGAATAAAAGGGAATCATGACATGTCACACATGTCATGTGTCCTTAAGGGGTTAAGGGACACTGAACCACTACAGCTTAAAGTTGTGGTTCTGGGGCAAGGAGACTCTCCCTGCTTTCTCTGCAGCGTTAACACTGTCTTTTCTCAAAGTTTGCAGGAGGATAGTTCAAGGTTCCTTCACCTTTAAAGTGTAATGTATTGATCATACATTACTGATATTTCACCTGTGACATGTAAAAAATACAATAGAAAAAAATGTCTACTGCAGTAAATTGTTTGCCTTAAGATAGGTAATCTTTGAAACTTTGCATTGTCCTATCCTCTTGCGTGCTCATCTGTGCTGCCAAATTCAGATTTCTGTAAATAATCTTTCAAAAATGTAAGCCACCCTCCTCAAGGTACTCATTTATTTATAAATAGTTAAAATTACCTTGTTTTCCTGACAAACTCTTCACCCATTTAATCTCACCTATGATTTTAACAGCTCAAATCTCGCTATTTATAAAACACAACAGCTATGCTTAGAAATGCTCACACACCACTGCCTCTTATTCAGGGCTTTGCGATAGCAGGGATGGCTGTAATGTAACACCCCCTCCCCCCCCCCCTTCTCTTACTCTCTCTGTAAAAAAATGTTAAAGGTTTTCTTTTTTTTTTACAATTTGTAAACTTTGCAAAACCGCTGTCAGCCCCTCCTACAAAACCCTTGTCCTGCCCCGCCCCTCCTACAAAACCTCTGTCCTGCCCCTTCTACAAATCCTGTACTGCCCCGTCTACAAAACTACTGCAACCCCCTTCCACAAATCCCCTGCTTATCCCCCCTTATAAAGATTCCTGTCCCAATACAAAAGCCAGGGCAGAGTTTCAGAGTAACCAGATTTAAGGTGGATGCCATGCACTTTCTGACGAATCTTTGATTCCGAACAGAAGTTACACTGTGTATCTAAACTGCCATGTTAGACAATCCCATGGAATGTATTTATGTTTTGCATTATCAATGAGTACATTATCTTTCTTCTGTATCCATTTTAATAAAAATCATTAATGGCAAAAAACACAACACCTACTGCATTCTTCCGAAAATAAGACCGGGTATTTTTCAGGGGATGTCTTATTTTTTCATGTACAACAAGCTACATTTATTCATGTACAAATATCTACATTTATTCAAATACAGTCATGTCACCTTCTTCTGAAATATCGTCGGAACTCTTGAAACCCCAAATTCCGGGCTGAATTTCTTGCAACTCCATTTCCTGTCAAACCATTGTCCCCAATCTCTCATGTCTAGTAATAGAGCTCTCCTAAATGTAGCCTGCTGGTAGTGCATTAGCAACACAGCTGTCAGTGATTTTATCCCATTAATTCTTCTGCAAGTCACGACCTCTTGCAGGCTAGGCTTTACAAAGTTTCCACGCTAATTTCTCTCAATTCCATTTTCAATGTAGTCATTGATTTCCATGTTCCTTGAATGGCTTGCTTATTGCAATATCAAGAGTCTGAAGATTATTATTACAGTGGAATCTCGAAACTCGAACTTAATCCGTTCCAGAAAGCTGTTCAAGTTCTGATTTGTTCGAGAAGTGAATCAACATTTCCCATAGGAATGCATGTAAATTTGATTAATCCGTTCCAGACTCCCCAAATTACAACATTTAAACACAAATTTGACTGTTTCATAATGCTTTACATGCATAAAATCATATAGAAATAAAATAATTTAAAAAGGAGCCAAACAACTATGTGTACTAATATGTACAGTAAATGAAATGAAAATGTCACTTCTCTTTACCTGTAATGATGAGAGTTTATGGCGTAAGTAGATAGGAGAAGAGCTATCATTGTCTGGATGGGGAATTGCCTTCCGTAATTACAATAGGTACTAACTGTTCTGGTGTTCTTTCCCTTGCTCGTTTCACACCACTGACACCTGGTTGAGGCTCACTGGACCTTTTCTTCACAAAAAATTTGTCCATTTAGACTTGCTGTTACCTATGTTTTAAAATGTGTCTGAAGTGAGACATAGCATTTGATTAGTGCACTAGGAAGATTTTCCCTTCCCTCCTCCTCCTCCTCTACAGACAATTCCTCAGATGCCCTCTTTTGCTGCTCCCTCTGAAGGTCTTGGAGTTTTCCCTCCACATCTTTATCATTCACCTCCAAGCTCATTGACTTCCCCAGAGACACAATTTCCTTAAAAACAGGAGCATCCTGTTCAATACCTCAATGTTTCAGGGACAGCCTCTGGCCACAATTTCCTCCAGGCCGAGTTCATGGTCCTATAAGACACATCCCTACATGCTTTATCTATGAGGTGTAAACAATGGAGGATATTAAAATGATTTTTCCAGAACTCTCTAAGGGTTAGCTCTGTGACTGAGGTTACTTCAAATCACCTTTGGAACAGTGCTTTGGTGTAACGCTTCTTGAAGTTTGAAATGACTTGCTGGTCCATGGGCTAGATACTTCACAGCAATAAAACTGAACTCCTCCATTAATTCTTCCCCAAATCCTGGAGGGTGAGCAGGAGCATTATCCATAAGTAGCAGAGCCTTGACAGGTTAGTTTTTTTCTTGAAGGTATTTTTTAACACTTGGCCCAAACACCTCATGAACCCACTCAATAACAAATTACCTGGTTACCCAGGTTTTGCTGTTAGCCCTCCACATCGCCTGCAATTTGCTTTTCAGGACATGGTTTTTCATGGGTTCTCCGAGTGGTGGACTAGCAAAGGCTTCAATTTAAAATCCCCACTTGCATTCCCACATAACAACAGGGTTAGCCTGTCCTTTATTGGTTTGTGTCCTGGCAATGATTTCTCCTCCTTTGTAATGTAGGTCCTCTTTGGCATTTCTTTCCAAAACAGGCATGTCTCATCACAGTTAAAGGACCACTATAGTGCCAGAAAAACATACTTGTTTTCATGGCACTATAGTGCCCTGAGGGTGCCCCCACCCTCAGGGTCCCACTCCCGCCGGGCTCTAGGGTGAGGAAGGGGTTAACTTACCTCTTTCTCCAGCGCCGGGCGGGGAGCTCTCCTCCTCCTCTTCGGCTGAATGCGCGCATTCAGCCAGTCCATAGGAAAGCATTCACAATGCTTTCCTATGGACGCTGGCGTCTTCTCACTGTGAAAATCACAGTGAGAAGTGCGTAGGCGCCTCTAGCGGCTGTCAATGAGCCAGCCACTAGAGGCTGGATTAACCCTAATATAAACATAGCAGTTTCTCTGAAACTGCTATGTTTATAGAAAAAAAGGTTACTCCTAGCTGGACCTGGCACCCAGACCACTTCATTAAGCTGAAGTGGTCTGGGTGCCTATAGTGGTCCTTTAACCCCTTAAGGACCAAGCTTCTGGAATAAAATGGAATCATGACATGTCAGACATGTCATGTGTCCTTAAGGACTTGTTAGGGAACGAATTCCTCAGCCTCTACATAGGCTTTAAATTCCACAACAAATTTATCAGCCCTGTCTTTGTTAGCACTGGAATCTTTACCATGTCTCACCACACTCTTTTTGCCACTTCTCTTTTTAAACTTTTCAAAGACATCACTATCAGCACTCTTTTCAGGGGTGTTTTTCACAACATCAGCATGCACATGTCTTGCTTTTTCACAAATTATTGCCTCTGATATGCTATCACCAGCTAACTGCTTTTCAATTATCCATATCAATTTCTCTACTTCTTCTAGTGCTGGCTTCTTTGTTTTGTAATCGCTTTCACCCCTCTAGCAATATTGGTTCTTTTGATGGCGTCTTTATTTTTTAATATGGTACAAATTGTAGATTTGGCCATACCAAACTGTGTTGCTAGATCACAGACACAGACACCGACACCGCTTTCATGTTTTAAAATCCATCTCTTTCTTCAACTCTATTGTCGTTCTCACAATTTTCTTCTTGGGTTGGCTAATATCCTTGGATGAGTTTTTGCAGACTGAATGGAGCTCTATGTGAAGACTGAATGAAATTTATTTAAGAGTTAGTGGAGCTCTATTTGAAGTCTGAATGGAACTCTATTTAAAGACCGAATTGAACTCTTTGAAGACTGAACTGAACTCTTTGTAGACAGAATTGAACTCTTTGAAGACTGAATGCAACTCTATTTGAACACAGATTTGAACTCTATTTGAACACTGAATGGAGCTCTGCTGACTAAATGGAGCTCCATTTGCAGACTGAATGCAACTCTTTATGAAGACTGTATTGAACTCTATTTGAACACTGAATGGAGCTCTGCTGACTAAATGGAGCTCCATTTGCAGACTGAATGCAACTCTTTATGAAGACTGTATTGAACTCTATTTGAACACTGAATGGAGCTCTGCTGACTAAATGGAGCTCCATTTGCAGACTGAATGCAACTCTTTATGAAGACTGTATTGAACTCTATTTGAACACTGAATGGAGCTCTGCTGGCAGAATGGAGCTCTATTTGAAGACTGAATGGAGCGCTTTGCTGACTGAATTGAACTCTTTTTGAAGACTGAATTGAACTCTATTTGAAGACAGAATAAACTGTATTTGAAGACTGAGTGGAGCTCTGCTGACTGAACGGAGCTTTTGCTGGCAGAATGGAGCTCTATTTGAAGACTGAATAGAGCTCTGCTGACTGAATGGAGCTTTTGCTGGCAGAATGGAGCTCTATTTGCAGACTGAATGGAGCTGTTTTCTGACTGAAATGAACACTATTTGAAGACTGAATTGAGCTCTGCTGACTGAATTGAGCTGTTTGCTGCAAGAATGGAGCTTTTGCTGGTAGAATGGAGCTGTGCTGCTGACAGAGTAGAACTCTGCTGACAGAATGCAATGGCAATGCGTGATACTAACGAGATACCAACGAGATTACCATAGAGGTGAATGCCGTGTGACCGCGTGACGTGTTCACGTACCAAGGCATTTTTCACCCAAATTTTTGTTTGAATAAAGAAATGTTTGTGAACAGGAACATTTGATTTCCAGTGTTCAACTGTATTTGATCTATTCTTCTCTCTGCAAGGAAGTTCTTCATATCTTTAGCATGGTGAATGCTGGCCGAGGCCCAGACTAGCAGACCTCTTTGGCCACCTCGCAAAACAAGTGGCAGCATTAAATCGACCAACTTCCTTATAACTGTTTGTGTGCACAGGTTTTTTCGATTTCAAGATAAATAAATGCCTGAAACATGTTCAATCTTATCTTTTTTGCCCTTAGTGATAATTAGAGGATCTGACTTTCTTTTCATCCAGATGAATTTCCAAAATACAGGTAACACATGCTCTTTCATAACCAGTGGAGGGAATGTAGATTGACGAGGCAGCCCTCTGATCAATTGTCATTTGAGACTCATAAACACTGCAGTTTCATCCAAAGCCATCATGTTGGAGAGTTAGTATTTAGAAAAGTCGATGCCATCAACATACCTGAATGCAAGTGCAAATTTAATAACTTACAGTATCTTCAAGCTTAAACAGTTTTGTAGATCTTCTTAGAGACAGTTCATATCGCAGACAGTGTTTTGATGCTTTGAATTTTTCTGGTGTTATTTCTAACTGTGGTGCCATTGGGAGGGCAAAGGCTTAAATATCAGCCCTGCACACAACAAGGCCTTTACTCTCCTGTCAGCAATCCATTCACAGATGAGGTCTTCCAGTTCAGGAAATAATGGTTGCCAACCTGATCCACACTTGTGCTTCTTAGCATTTCCCTCATCCACCAGTTAGAAACATAGAATGTGACGGAAGATAAGAACCATTCGGCTCATCTAGTCTTCCCAATTTTCTAAATACTTTCATTAGTCCCTGGCCTTATCTTATAGTTAGGATAGCCTTATGCCTATTCCACGCATGCTTAAACTCCTTTACTGTGTTAACCTCTACCACTTCAGCTGTAAGGATATTCCATGCCTCCACTACCCTCTTCGTAAAGTAATACTTCTTGATATTATTTTTAAACCTTTGCCCCTCTAATTTAAAGGGACACTCCAGGCACACATACCACTTCTGCCCATTGGAGTGGTCTGAGTGCCAACTCCCACTACTCTTAACCCTGCAAGTGTAATTATTGCAGTTTTTTATGAACTGCAATAATTACATTGCAGGGTTAACGCCACCTCTAGTGGCTGTCTACTATACAGCCACTAGAGGGCACCTCCGTGTCCCTAGCACAGGTTTACCATCCTTAACACACACCCTCAACTGCTCTCTTTCGTCTGGTGTTGTCCTTAATTCCCTTAAACATACTACTATCGTACCAATCCTAAAAACGTAATCCCTAGACCCGTCTTCCCCTTCCAACTATCTCACCATATCCCTATTCCCTTTTTCAGCAAAGCTTCTAGAAAGCCTGGTCTTTACTCATTCGGCTTGCTTCCTCAAATCCAACTATCTCCTCGACCGTCTTCAATCTGACTTATGCCCCCTACACTCTACTGAGACTGCTCTGACAAAACTTACAAATGAACTAATTAATTCTTCTTGACCTCTCTGCCGCTTTTGACTCTGTTGCACTGTTGATCATGTCCTTGTCCAGACTCTTTAATCTCTGTGTCTGTGACACTATCCTCTCCCAACATTCGTTCGGTGTCTCCTTTCCCAATGACACCTCCTCCCCTCGTCCTGTCTCGGTGGGAGCCCACCAAGGATATATTCCTGGTCCTCTTCTGTTCTCTCTTTACACTGCTTCTCTTGGCAAACGTATTAATTCCTTTGGATTCTGCTACCACCTGTATGCCGATGACACCCATATATATCTCTCCTAATCTCTCCCCTGCTGTCCTACAACGTGTCACCGCTTGCCTTTCTTCCATCGCTTACTGGATGTCCTCCCGCTTTCTGAAACTCAATCACTTTAACAGAGCCTTTTAATTTTCCTACTCAGAAATGCTTTTGCATTGTCTTGGTTTTGTCTTTGATCCTGGATGCACCTTATATCCAGCATTTTGTTAAAACCTTCCATCTTAAAAACATTTTCCGCATCCGCTCCTTTCTTACACAAGATACTGCCAAGGGGCTTGTTCATGCTCTGGTAATCTCTGGATTACTATAATTCTCTCCTAGTTGGTCTCACCAGAAGCCGAACTACCCTGCTACAATTGATAATGAATGCTGCCGCCAGGCTAATCTTTCACCTGACGCTCCTCCCATTCCTCTCCCCTCTGTCGATCCTTACACTGGCTTCCTTTATCCTATAGGTGTCAATACAAAATGCTAATCCTTAACTATAAGGCTTTAAACAACTCTAGCTCTGGTTACATTTCTTCACTGATTTGTAGATATGCCCCATCTCGGTCTCTCCGCTTTGCCAGTGACCTTCTTGTATCCGCTGCTTACACCCTTACAGCCTGCCTACCCTCCATCTCTACTAGTCTTCAATCATTTAAGAAGTCCCTCAAAACTCATCTGTTTTGAAATGCTTATGGCCTCCCACAGTAACTTCTATGTCACATATCTGTCTCTTGCCCTCTCCTAAAGAGCCACACTAAACTTTCACCTCCAGTTCTGCTAATTTTCCACCTTGTTTGGTTGTGGTGCCCTTTGCTGCCCTATTGTGTTTTTATACCCCA